AGGGGGGGTCAGGGGGAGGGAGAGATTTTTATTAATATCTTACTAAGTATCAGTATCATAATAATATCTCATATTAGGCTGGAGTTTCCGCTGTCTAGCAAAGAGTCAGCTTTCATATAAGTTGGAAAGTATTTTAAAGAATTCTAGGTTTGTGGTTTAAAAGAGTTAGATATAAATCGTCAATCCTAAAATCACAAATCCAATTCCACCTATTTTGTCTGCTTTTACAAACAATGGTCTCTGAGAAACATACCAAAGCCTCCCATGGAAACAGGTAACTATTCCCTCTAGAATTTCCAGGCATTTTAACGTAGAGTTTCGCGTTCTTAGTCTATGACAGTAGCATCTTCTTGGTGAACTGTACCTTTAAGAAACCTGGATATTCCCTTTTAAACCATGTAAACTCAGTTCTAGGCTTGAATTACTTTTTGCCTGGTTACTGCTTTTAAGTTAGCATTTGCTCGAAATTTTTCTATCCATCTCTCTACATTCAATCTTTCCACTTCATTTGATTTTAAAAATACTTCCTACTAACATGCCAGAAATAAAGATCGTACACAAAATCATGCTCAACACCTGAAAGGCCTTTCCAATATAAATATTACATGTGTATCCTGCTCTGAGATGGGTCCTTCAATTATTTCTTGGTGACCTTCCCTCCTTAGGGCTCTGGCCTCCCCTCGGAGAGGTCCTGGTATGTGACCACTATGACATCTACGATCTTGTTTTCCATACTTGAGAACCCCATTGGCTCAATTTCATTGCAGCAGCCGATTCTCTAAGGACACTAACTCTATATTCTTAACGTTTTCTTCCCTCCCATTCGTGATTCAATACCGTTTCCTCAGGGTTTTTCTCCTTGGTGCCTTTGTTCCCCACGACTCTGCTTCTCAGTTTTAGATGAAACCTGAGGCAGGTCATCTTTGAGAGCCAGTGTATAATTCATCAGCCTACATTCCTCTGGCAATACATGCAGGTTCTCATTTCATGGACCTAAGGGACCCTGCCTTCGGAGGGAAGGGATGCAGAGTGAAGCAGTTACAAGGATTTATACGGAGAACATAAATATCTAATTTTCTGTGAACAGGAGTGGCTATCCTTCAAAGCAGGTGCAATTACCCAATTTTCTGATTTTCTTATATCCACACCCGCTCAGAGCGCCTCCTATGTTGCAAATGACACTTCACAGAACTAAACTTTGGGCCACAACGTGTGGATAAATGCCAGAAGCTGTTTTTGAAACCAGAAGGCTATACATTCTTCACCCTGAATCCATTACCTGGCAAACCACTAATGTCTTGCTCTGTCTCCCACTCCCTGCACCTCTGATCTAAAGAAATGCAGGGCTTCTACAATCAAACTTTCTTTATGAAGCCTGCTGTTTTCTCTGTAATTTTGGGTTTCACCACCAACTGATACCATCTGCTTTACATTTTCCTCCACTGGTAGTAAAATTTTAACTCTAAGAAGAGTTTTTTGTTTTTTTTTTAATTTTCTGCCATCTCTAATGGATTTAGAAGGAAGGAAAGGCAAATGTGGCATTCAGGTGGTCTTTCAAAAAGTGAAGTCAACCCAATAGTTTCTAACTTGTGAATTGCTTTCAGAAGCCTTGAACATGGGGGACAGGGGTGCTGACCCTCTATAGAAGTGAATATCCACCTGTAACTCTGACTCCCCTAAAACCTAACTACTAATAATAGCCCAGTGTTAACCAGAACCTTTCCTGTTAACATAACAGGCAATAACATGTATTTTATACATTGTATGCATCATATACTATATTCTTACAATGAAGTAAGCTAGAAGAAAGAAAATGTTAAAAAACCGTAAGAAAGAGAAAATACATTCATAGCACAGCACTGTGTTTATAGAAAAAAACCCACATAGAAGTGGACATGCATGCAATTCAAACCAGTGTTGCTGAAGGGTCAACAGTATGATGAGAGAAAAGTGTTAAAGATATACTTAGCAATTAGGAATTAAATCCCCCAAGGTCCACAGGTAAATAATTAACAGATTCCTAAAGACTTCATGTATTTACCTGGAAGAAGTAAAATGTACAGCAGAAAACAATCACCCTCATGGTGTGGGAAGAGAAAACAGAATGCAGAGATAGAGAGCAACTCCGAGGACACAGGGAGAGGGTTCAGTTTTAAATAGCAAGGCTTGAGAACAGTCAAATCCTAAAACAAACCCGTTGGTCCAAAAGAGAAGATGACGAAAGCAGCAGCTGACCGCTGGCTGGGAGAACCAAGCCCGGCGAGCCCTCCACTTCCCTGGGCAGCACCTAGGACTCAAAGCCTGGCCTTCCACACAGAGGGGCAAGGCAAAGAGGGTTGAAGCATGTGGACCTAGGCAGCAGTGACAGTGGGAAATGGCAAACAAGTGCCCAGGCAACCGAAAGGTGTTAACTATTAAAGTCTTGAGCACAGGAAAAGGTGATCTTGGGCTCTGAATTAAAAATAAAAGTAAAGCAGGGCGCCTGGGTGGCTCAGTCGTTAAGCGTCTGCCTTCGGCTCAGGTCATGATCCCAGAGTCCTGGGATCGAGTCCCACATCGGGCTCCCTGCTCGGCAGGAAGCCTGCTTCTCCCTCTCCCACTCCCCCTGCTTGTGTTCTCTCTCTCGCTGTGTCTCTCTCTGTCAGATAAATAAATAAAATCTTTAAAAAAATAAAAATAAAAAAAATAAAAGTAAAGGACGAAGAGACAGGGTAAAGGAGGCTTCTAAAAATAAGCTATATCCTTGTGGAACAATGGAAGTGGTTTTAGTAATCTCTACCTGGAGGAAAAATAACACATCAGTAACATAAAAATACCATTATTTCCTTATTTATCATTTGAATTCCATCTCCACCAAGAAAGTGAGATAGGTAGAGAAGAAATCCATATTCTCCTTTTTTAAAAATGAAGAATGAAACGCAGAGAAGTAAATGGCCAAGGATCATACAACTAATAAAGAGAAATATTAAAGCAAACACTTCAATTTCTCAGCACCTGGTGTTTCATCTTCTCGCCTACAACATTAACACACTGCGTGACAAAATGAAGATTGAAACATCTGTGACTTCCCTGTTCCACGACCACTGTCTTACCTCCCCTTACAACACTTGGCTTCCCTCCCAAAATACACTGGAGGGCTTTGATTCCAGTTTTCCTGCCTGACGTTAACAATTTTTATATACTTGGCACCCAAGAAACTTTATAAATTAACTTGGCAAACTTTTTTTTTTTTATTCTTATGTTAATCCCCATACATTACATCATTAGTTTTAGATGAAGTGTTCCATGATTCATTGTTTGTGCATAACACCCAGTGCTCCATGCAGAACGTGCCCTCCTCAATACCCACCAGGCTAACTCATCCCCCCACCCCCCTCCCCTCTAGAACCCTGTTTGTTTTTCAGAGTCCATCGTCTCTCATAGTTCGTCTACCCCTCCGATTTCCCCCGCTTCATTCTTCCCCTCCCGCTACCTTCTTCTTCTTCTTTTTTTTTTCTTTAACTTGGCAAACTTTAACCTAATAAAAAACTATACTTATTTATTGCAAAGTATGGAAATTATACCACGGACTAGTTTTCATTTCCCAAACAATACTGCTTTTTGACTCTTTCATTCACCGGATGTGATCAGACAGCAAGGTGTTATAATACATACAACAGATCTGACGAAGACGTAAAATAGGATATGACTTCTCTAACATGAACATCTGCTGAACCTAGAAATTCTGCAATTACAGGTAAGAGTGACAAGCAACCTCCCAGACCACTGAACGGCACAGAAATTAGTAAGAAATCTGTAATATACTCACTTTTATCTATGCTTCCATAAGAATCACTTGAAATTTGTGTTCCAATGTGTCTCAACTCTAAAATCATGGGGAAAAATACAGTTAATAAAGAATATTGCAAGTCAAAATAGAATTTTCAAGCAGTAAGTGAATACTCACCCTTTTCATTTTTCTGTTTAGAAAATTCATCGAGCCGTTCCTGTGGAAACAAAGTGCTGACAGTGTTTGTAAGGGGTAGGGGGAGTGTAGGCATCCCACACCGGGTCTAAGGGGGTAGCCCAGCGGCGCTGCGGACAGCTTGCACCAGGCGGCCCCGCCCGACTCCCACGTGATGAGGATGCTAAGGAGCCCTGAGGCCGCGAGTGTCACCTGGGTGCGCACTATTATCTATTACCTGTGTCTTCTTAAATTCCTTTTCAAGTATTTTCTTCTCATTCCTCAGCTGCTTGAAGTCCTGTGTTTGCTTGACAGCAGCCTCTTTAAAGAGCGCAATGAACAAGACACACAACAATTGACCAACTTCACAGCTACCACTAAGGAAAGACTCAAAATATCATCTACTGAGAGCTTTTCTCATTTCATAAAACTTTGAAACAAATTTTGTAAAAAGTTACTGTTCCTTCAGCACTTCCTCAGTCAGGGATAAATGCAGGAACATGGTTTGTTTAAACTGTTATCTATAAAACCACAGACTTGGCAGAGGCCCCAAGACGCCTTTGCAATCCCAGCAGGAGCCAGCCCACGCCCTCTGGTCAGGCAAGAAACCCAACACACATGAACTTTCGAGAAGGAGGGGCACTGTTCCCTCCTGCTCTTCAGCAATAAGCAACATTCATGTTTTGGAGATTTTAGAGCTGTGGCTTCATCTCGGAATACAGTCAATACCATCCTCTCTCTTGGGGAGGAGGGACAATCTTCTCCATGCTTATTATAGTGTTACTTCTTCCTGGAACTCCCATCAACAAGCTGATAGTTCCAGCTGCTAATACAATACCTGTGTTCTAGATCTATTTTAAGGTATTGTTTTAGCTCTTCCCTGGATCTTCAGCAAATTCTTCAATCTGGTTTTTGGTTCTGAAGCACATGGTCCAAATATATTATTAAGAATCTAACCAGCATTAACTTTACCTGAGTATGTTCATACACAATTGGCATGAAAACTAAAATCCCATAAAACATCATAGTAACAATCCTTTCCTGACTCCTCTAATGAGCTTGAGTATTTTTTTACTTGATTATTAGGCCACATCGCTCACTAGGGGAAAATATTTTTGTCACATGGGAAATAAAGGCTACACTTCTCTTCAAAGGAAATCTGTCCTAAAAGGTGCACATAGTCTGAAATGCACAGGCATCTCAGATCTCTTTAAAACATTTCCTTAGATAGAAATTTATCTCCACATACCAGCAAGAGAAAGCCATACTTAAAAAGAACACGACGATGTCATATTTACTGCCATACTGTCAGTGTTTGTGCAAAAACCAAATCAGAGGAAAAATTGTTACCAAAATATTTGTAGAGTTTAAATCTAAAAGCCTGGGCTCAATCTAGGTAAATTCACGACTGGAAGTATTTTCAGCAAGTTTTCTATATGCCCCGATCCAGCTAAATTTAAATTCTTCACACCCCACCTGAAAAACAAACCCTGCTCTGAGGCAGAGCACCACCAGTGTGTCATCACTGTCTAAAAACATCAAGTTTCCTGGTACTAAAAGCAGTAACCTTTTCTTTCCACTAACCACTTATTTCAGGAAAAAATGAAAAGCCCCATAACATGTAAATTTCAAAATTAAATCCTTTTACTGACTGCTGCTTTTCAAGGTACAAATATGGACTGCCATTATTTTGAGTGCAAAACATTTCAAAGATTTGGCATATGCCGTTCCCATATTCCTATCCGGAAACTGAGAGGAGTATCCAAACTTCTCCTTAATGGTGGCCTTAGCGCGATCATTCGGGATGCACCCTCGAAAACACGATGACCCAGCTACCAATCAAGTCCTACAACTCTGTATGGCCATCAGTGATCTGTGTGAAGACCAACGACTTCCATTAGCTAGACAACAATAGTGCTGATTACCTTCCAGCTTCTTCACCTTGGCTTCTAGTTTCTTCTTCCTAATAATTTTATAAATAGTAAAAATAAATAAATAAATACACACACACATACACACACAAACACACAATTCGTGGCTTTATTTTTTAATTATTGAAATATAACAAAGGAATGTTGGTCATGATGAGCATTGTGCATCAACCACTGAAATCATCAACAACTGTTATGAAAGTATAGTAAACTAAGAGAGAACAGTATGCTATTTAGTGTGTAATATTTCTAGAAAGAAATCTGTATTTTTCTGCCATGCCACATCTGGGAGTCTCCCTGGGCCACAATGGCCTCATGTCCAGGCCAAGCTGATGTTTCCCAGTGGTCTCCTAGAACCAGTCCAGCATCTACATCAGCAATGTCTCTCTTGGGAGCATGCGTGGCGGTAGTGCTCACAATTCCATTTTATGGGAGGCAGAGGCTGGAGAGCTGCACCAGTTTTCAGATAGATTTTTGGGTCAGAGAAGGCAGGTAACTCTGAGAAAGTCTCTGAGGTACCATTACATCACACGTACATTTGACTACTGTGTGTGTAGCTCACAAGATCTGTGAATCATGTGACTATAATCACTTGGATGCTTTCAAAAAGCTCTTTTTTATTAATGGTAACAAAGATGCCCATTCCACAGGATACCTGTTAAAGTCCCAGTACAGAGGAAGGAGCTGACGATCATGTTTGAAAACACACAGACAGGTGTGTGTATGCACGAGTACAGACAAACACTTCTTTGGAGTTCTTTCTCATGCAGCTCTTTAACAAATCAAGACTTATAATCCTTCAGGGGAGGTATAATTTCCACGGGACAGACCTAGAAACTAATGCTGAGTGACTAACTAGCTTAAGATCACAGTTACAGCCCATAACCCAAAGACAGAGAGGAGAGAGACAGTACTGATTTAAGGACCAGCCATTTTCAGACATGAAAACCGTACGTCCACAGTCATTTTAGAACTTACTGAGCATCAGTTTTCAAGCATTCTTCTTTTACACGTGCATATTCCTGGTGAGTATCTTGGTACAACTTCAGAGAACTCTAAGAAAAAGACAGCTGTTGTCAATTTGAAAGTCACTGACCATCATTGAGAATTTACTTGGACCTTGGTAAGTGAAATTATTACCATTTAACAGTAAGAAATCAACCAAATGAATACATATATTGGACAGGAAACCAAAGTATATTCTTCGAACATTTTAATAGAGATAACCAGATCCTTAACAGATGTAATATGATTAATAGTCTCAGCCAACAAAGCTATACAAGTTAAGATGTACTAATTTTAGGGCAACTCCAAATCTTCTTAAGACTGAATAGCCAATATTTTTCTCAACCAGTTAAAATTCAACAAAATCTGCTCAATAAATATAAGCTATCATTACTACTATATAAAAATATAAAGCAAATCATTATACTTAACAATCACTGGGAAAAATGTGCTACCACCACTCAGCAGGTACATCCTGACGGCCACCATGGAATGGGAAAGAGTCTGTCACTGAGCACTGTATCCCACTACAATGTGCATATGGATAGATCTTTAACTGCCACAGCTCTGAGATGGATTTTATGGCCCCCTTTTATAGATGAGGAGTCTGAGGATCCACCAGCTGACTTATTTTTCCAAAGTCACAGAGAATGAGTAATTAGCACTTCTCACTGAGGTCCGACTCCAATGTGGATGCTTCCTCTCAGATATGGTTGACAAGACTGTTATATATTAGAGGCAGACAAAATTCAATGTTGTAGTTGTTTCTGTTTAAACTTCAAGTAGTTAAAAATGTAATAAAGACTTTCTACAGAAGTAGGAAAACCAATCACTGCTGAAATATATAAGACCTCAGATCAGTGCATGGCATTACTAAAATAGTACAAGTCGATGCCTGGGAGGCAGAGACACCATCATGAAAAGAGCTCTGAGAACAGCTGAGAAGCAGGCATCATTCCAGCTCGGACAGTATATGTCTCATGCAAACCAACTAAATTTATTGGCCTTCAACTTACGTTATCTGTAAAAGCTATGAATTCTCTCCTATGACTCCTGAAAAGAGTAAACCAAAATTTATACCAGAAAGCAAGTTTACAGCATTTTTCTTCTGTACTGCCCCCAAGCTTACAACATTTTAAATAACTGTTTTACTGCAACTCGATTTTGAAACAGAGAACATGATCTCTTCACCTCTAAGTTTAAATTCTTGCAGATTATTTTACACTTACAGCAAGACCGATGTGAAAAGGCAACCAACGCAGGACACAGAGAGCCCTAAAAAGTCCCAGCTAGAAGGTTCCTCTGCAGAATCTCAAAGAACACATAAGCAACTAACACAGCATCACAGAGCTAGTAATTACTGTGAGGACCAAGCCATTAATCAACTGGTTCGATGTTCTCTAAACAGAGGAATACACTTTGTGATTTTTGAGTACCCCTTGTTTCCTCTGTTAAGATGTAAAATACCCCCTCATGCCAATGACAGTGAATAAACAGATCTTCATTTATGGAAGATAAACCTTCACAGGAAAATTCCTTTAGGTACCTTCTTCTCTTCCAGCTCTGCTTTTAAAGATCCCAATTCTTCCTGACATTTCTGCAGAGGAGAAATTTTTTGAAGCATCTGTTCCACTTGGTGATGCAGAGTACTATTCTCTCTAAAAATTGACAATGCATTAGCATTATTATACAGAAGTATCTACAGCGAATCATTAAATATATTGACTGCTGCTATTCTATTTTTTCTAACTTGGAAGGAAAAAGTAATAAAAGAATCTCTCTTTAAATGCATTCTATTTATACCAACATGATCTTCATACTGCTAATATTTTGACATTATAATCTATTTCTAATAAAAGTATATGATAAACTACTTGAGAAGTACAGTAGATTCTCAATCTGATAGACAATATATGAAAGGACAATATGCCAAATAATTAGGTTTTTCCAATCTTGAACTAAATCCCCATTTATCCAAATTAAATCACAGGCAATTTTGTGATCCAGTTTGTAACAATGTTTTGCCTTCTTCTAGGGGATGAATATATTCAGAATATGAAACACTGCTAAATGTTCACTCCATTTTAAATTGTTTAAGATACACAAGATAACCTCATTATTAAACACAATCCAATTCAGGCAGACAATAATTTGATTAACAATAAGCTCCATTTCAATGGTAACACCATCAGTAAAAGTAATAAAAAGTCAAATACCAGCCTGTAACTTAAGACCTTGGTAAGAATTTCATTTCGATAATACAATAGTAAGGAAAATATAAATCTTCTTTTATCATGACCATCAAAGCAACATTCAATATGATGGGTCAATCCTATGTGGCACTTTGACTGAATCTGTTTCGAAATCTAGTCTGATAAATGTCTACCCCAAAACAACCATGAAGACAGTACTTACCTTCTTGCAAACTGCAGCTGTAAAACTTGTTAAAGAAAACTCTCAGTTTTATCTGAAACTTGTCAGAAGATTAAACTCATTTTAAAATTACCTGTAATAATCTCTGTTCAATGTATATACAGGCAAATTGACAATTCCTAGAAAACAATATTCCAAGGTCCATCTATAACACAGTGTTAAAAATTTTTACTAGGTTACTCTATTTACCATAACATGTACCTAAAGTCAAAATATCTACTTCTCTAAATTAAAATAGGTACTCAATTACATCGATGATTAATACTGAATCGCGAGAATAAACACAAAGCAATATTCAACGAATGAACACTACCTTGGATCCTATAAACAACAAAATCCCCGAACAGCCTATCCTGAATTTAATAGTCCAGAGCATAATTTCAGCAAACAAGAGTTAGATACTTATGAGAACCATTTATCACTATACTCAATGAGTAACGAGAAAAGAAACAGAGAGAACATAAAACCTAGATAACCTCTCACTTTTACAATTTACACAATATAACTTCATTTCCCATCTCATGCTGCCAGTGAAATGTTCTAGGACAGCAAAACAATTACCCTTCTAAATTTCACCTCCTACAAGTTTCTATGCATATACCATGAGGTGGCAAATGTCTGTAACGACACGCCTCTGTCCTCCTGTCAGAATACAGACTTCTCCAGATTAAGGACTACATTCACCCTAAGTTAGCAGTCTTTGCAAAAAAGAGAAGTTCAAAATACCTGATGAAATAAAATATACCCTCTCCTTCCAAGAAAGGAAATAATAAACTTAACAAAACAGTCAGAATTACACAAAATAGTAAGAAATCAATGGGTGCCTGGGTTGCTCCATCATTTAAGCATCTGACTCTTGGTTTTGGCTCAGGTCGTGATCTCAGGGTCATGAGATGGAGCCCCTTGTGGGGCTCAGTGCTCAGCGGCGAGTCTGCTTGAGATTCTCTCTCTCCCTCTCCCTCTGCTCCTCCCCTTGCTATCTGTCTAAAAAAAATCTCTAAAAAAAAAAAAAAAAAAAAGTAAAAAATCAAGTTATATAACAAAGCCATTGAAACCTGCACCATTAGCACTTTGGGTTGGAAGAGCAAACTACTGCACACCTAAGGTACAAAAAATATGTATTTGGGGCAAATACCAAATGTGTTTAAAAAAAAAAAAAATCAGTATTTACTTGTAGCTGAGGCTGAAGAAGATTATCGTATCACCGAATGGGTATTCCAGAATAATCCCAAGGTTTATCAATTTTTAATAAACTATTCTAATAATTTTGATTTAAAAATTTTATAAATTTTTAAAAAGTAAATCAATTTCCCTGCTAGATTACATGTGTAATTACCTCAAAAAGTTTATGCTAAAAAGGATATAATGAAAGTATACTCTCCTAATACTGGAATTAATTGGTTACCTATATTTCTTATTTAGCTAATTAAAAGTACTTATAATAACTGTTTCTGTACAGGTTTCATAATCAAAGGTATTACTCTTGTGATAATATATATTTATAGTTAAACAGACTGAGAGTTTTAACAAATGAAGCACAAGGGGGGGGATTACCCTGACCTACATTTTTTAATGTAAAAATTCAGTGCTAAAAATAAATCTAAGTCTTATGCCTTGATTTTATTACTCTAATCACACAAGTTAGACATGATGGTACCAACACAAACAAATAATTAGTGATCACGTGTAAGTTCAGGGAGGCCAGAAATAATATCAAAGCAGGCCTGGGGCTCCTGCCAAAGTTGAAGAGTAGCATCTGTCCCAAGACCTAAGCTGAAGCTGCACTTCAGTGAATCCCTAAAAATATACCCACGCTAATTTTCATGGGAGATTTCACTCATGGTGTTTTCACCACGAAATGCAGAAAAGACAACTACGCACACTATTTTCACCCTACCAGTAAAATATCTCACTAGAGGCCAACTACACTGCAGGTGCTCTGAATGGTTACTGAACAAACGCTGACCAAATCTGTCTTATAAATACAAAATCACACTGTGATTATGGACGCACATGTATATACATACATATATATATATATATATATATATAGTCATTCTCTACAAATCATAAAGCTAATTAACGAAAGCCACTTGTCCACCATTTTGAATATTCCTACACGGCAGGTCTTACAGAAATCGTGAGAAATTCTCATAGTATCCTATTCAGCTTAAGTTCATTGCTAAGCCTGCAGAACTTGTCACATCCTCAGTACAAACGAAAAAGACCTACCCATTAAAAAGGAGGCGCCCTGAAGAAAATCAAAATTAGTGACAAAAACATAACATTCTAAAATAGAGACCAGGAGTCTTCATCATGAAACACGTACTCACAGGAAAAGATTCATGTTCACTGTGCTGCTCAGAAGGGTTCCTTCCTTAGAGGCTGTAAACACTACCTTCCAAAGATAACTGAAAATTCCCACGGTTCTTCTAAGAAACTATAAATAAGTAAATTTAAAAACTCCAAGGAAAAAGCTAGTAAAAGGATATCATCACATTTCTTCTGATATTCTGTTAATAAATTACTGCAACAAAGAAAAGAATTACATTACTTTTTTGATCTAGAAAATATACTGTTAAGCTCATGTTTCAAAATATGCTAGGCACCTTTCTTCCTAGGCTTCCTGCAACAAATCATGTTTAATTAATTAAATATGTATACACACACACATATATATCACCTTCAATTCCTTAAAAGTGCTGCAATGATATATGAACTTTAAAAAAAAATAAAAATAAATCCCCTACCATGGCTGTGAAATACTGTGAGGAAATCGGAGATCCAGTGCTAAAGCTAAGAAGGCTTAAAAGATAGAAAACAGCTTTAAAAAAATTGCCACTCTAGCAAAACTCACTTCCTAACCTGCAGGCCTGCTGTAAAGGGCTGCGGACCAACAACACAGCTTCAGCCTGTGGACAAGGCTCACCAGGGTTCCACCATGACCCACAGCCCACGGGCCCTGGATGAGAGACTAAAGGCCTAACACACCACCTGCTCTGGCTTGTCTGTCAGGTTCACGAAGTTCAACAGAACACATGAAAACATACTCACTCTGTATTAATAATTTTCTGCTTCAAGGTAATTAGTGCTTCAACATATTCGTTTAAATTCTGCAAGAAAAAAACAGCTACAATCAGCTACTTGTTTCTGTAATATGAATGACTCTAAATGTATATTCTGTAACGTGTGACTTATTGTAAAACATGAGCATATTTACTCTCACATAAACATAGAAATACATTAAGATATTATTTACATTACATAGAAACACAGACCTACTCTGTGTGATCTTGAACCCATGCTGTATCTCTCTGAATCTTTCTTTAGGTGGAGTGGCGCTCTCTCTCTGACAGTAAGGGGGTTGTGCAGACTCTCTGTGTGCTCTTAATCAGTGAGAATCTGGTACATACTCACTATTTTAGTTCACTAATTATTAGTAATCACGTCTACAACTCACTCTGCATTGTCTCTGAAAGGATTTAAGACATCAAAAAGTCACATAAATATAAAAAAAAGCAAGAAAATAAAAATAACATGGGAAGAACAAATAGGAATATTAAAATAGGGATGAAATTCAATGAAAAATTCATTTTATAAGGATCTATATATTTTAGGGACCAACTACAAATCTGGCTCTAAATTACTGCTATCAATTCAATAGGGAAAACATCATTAGTTACACGGCTCAAAATGTTCCTAAGACTTAAAAACAGATATTTTTTTTCTTTCAAGTGACTTTTTCCCCTAGTATCTTCATATTTCATTGGTAAATACTTCAGAAGAACTTATTTTTCACTGATTATCCCAAAACATCTTTTTTCTAGGTAATCAAAATGATTTTGAGAATTACAGAAATATGTCCCTTTATACTAGTCTGTGTATCTTCTTTGCAGTCAGACATATAACACGGTATTAGTTACAATAAAAAAGGTCCACACTGAAACACGTAAATAAAAAGTCTTAGTTTGGGGCACCTGGGTGGCTCAGTCGGTTGGGCAACTAACTGTTAGTTTCGGCTCAAGTCCTGATCTTGGGGTGGTGGGATCGAGACCATGTCGAGCTCAATGCGCAATGATGTGCAGCTCGGAGTCTCCTTGTCCCTTTCCCTCTGTTCCACCACCCGCCCAGGCTCATGCACGCTCTCAAATAAATAATTAAAATCTTAAAAAAAAAAGTCTTTGTTTTCTTATACTCCCACCACCAGTTAAAAATCTCTATTCCTCCTTGTGTATTTCCTCTCAGAATGTTCCTGCATTTGTAAATGACATCTGGATGTGCTCAGTCCACCAACTCAATACTGAAGGCCATTCAGGTTCATTTCTGTCCCCACCAATGCACACCATGAGTGTCCCTGCCCATTCCTGTGAGATACTATCTTTCCTTAGGATCAAGTCCAAATAGATTTCCTGCATTAGTGATAGTGATGAGCTTTGAAAATCTTAGAGTCATTTTTCCATGTATATTTCTTTACAAGTGTGACTGAGAAATCTCTTGCCATTTAGTTTTTCTCTTATTAAAAGCTCCTGAACATTGTTTGCTCACTGGTGTGGTTGCACTTTCTTATGAGCAGCGGTATTTGAGCAATAGCAACATTTCAATAAATGTTACAAATATATACATAATGTCTGTCACTTGATCACTAAAATACAACCACACAGGCATGCAGAAGTTTTAAATACTCACAGAGCTGAATCTGTCACTTTTTTTTAAAAGTTTCGGTTTCCTGATATATTTAGAAAATTCTATCCCACCCAAGATGCTAAGATAAAAGGATTTTTCTCTATGTTATTCTAGTACTTTTATGCTTTTATTTTTTGTATTTATATCTTTAACCATTCTAATATTCTATATAGTAGACTCTAAACATTCTAAGTCAAAAGGACAATGAGTGGTCCATTCCATATTTGTATTTAATGTATATTTTGCTTTCCACATTCAAAAACAATCTTTCATTATATACAAAATAAATTTCATACAACAACAGATTTCTGGGCACAGAGGGAAAATAATGCATCTGCTTTTACTCCCTCCCTAAAAGCCAGCTAAAACTAAAGCCAAGAAACTTTTCCCCCAAAGGCAAAACCCACAAAGATGAGAGTAGAATAAAAAGACAAGTGGAAACTGGAAAGCAGATTCAAGAATACTGACTTGGCAGGCTCAAGAAAGCGGGAGAGGTGGGAAGGGGGAAGAGTCCAGGACACCAGGGTGCTCTGAGACAGAAGGGCAGGGGTGGCACTAACAGAACTAGTGGCAAACTTTCTTATAAGCATTAAATCCTCAAATTCCTACCTCTGCCCCGCCACCGTCCAGCAAAAGGTTTGCTGTTTGAAGAATTCTCTGCCTCGGACACTGTGAACACTGTGCCAAAAACAAAGGGATGAGGCAGCCCTATGCACACTGACCTGACACTGACCACCTGCTTGTCCCCATTAAGCTCCCAGACAGTGACAGCCAATCCTTTGCCCTCCAGGCAGGAGACTGAAAGTGCTTTCTCTGAGGATATCTAACCAGCACTGACATGAGATATCCTTGAAATGAATGGCCCACCAGACCTTCTGCAATGAAGCTCAAGGTCCAGATGCCCCACACACTCAGCCTTTCCAGCCAACATATTAGCCAACAGTTTTAATAGGAACAATCATGGATTTCCACACATCAGAGAGAAACCTGTAACATGTGAGATCAAAACAAGACAGCAACTTGGAGTAAGCAGAAACTGAGAAGAAAACTGCAAAGATTAATATGATCGGAGATAAATGTTATATTCATGAAACAGCAATATTTTTGAAAGGAATATACAGAGTTCCTAGAAAATTTTTTTAAAAGCTCCTAAAAATTAAAAACATCCACACTCCCTAGGATGGCTGAAACCAAAATGGCAGACGACAACAAGTGTCAGTGAGGATGTGGAGAAACTGGAGCCTCGGATTCTGTGCCGGAGGCCGACGTGGAGCAGCTGTGGCGCACAGCAGTCTCCTAACTCCTCCAAATGTTCCAGAGTTCACCACGTCACTCAGCAATTCCACTCCGAGGTCTACGCCCAGGAGAGCTGGAAACACACGTCCATGCCAAACTCTGACTTAGAGCATTATCCATGCTAGCCAAAAAGTAGAAATAAGCTAAACGTGCATCAGATGATGAAGGGATAAATGAGATGTCAGGCAGCCATACCACGTGATTACTTGGCAATGAAAACAAATGAGTGACACCTCTGACGAAAGGGATAAACCCTGAGCTACATGCAAGGGGCCAGTCACAAAAGGCTACATGCCATACAAGTCCATTCATATGAATTGTCCACACCAGGCAAATCCAGAGACCCAGAGACAGAAAGCAGATTAGTGGCTGCCAGGGACTGGGGTATGGGAGACAGGGAATGACTGCTAATGCCTAAGAGGGTTCCTGGCAGGGGTATGGGGGTGGGGGTGGAGATGAACGTGTCTTACAATTACAAAGTGGTGACAGAGTTGCTTAACTGTGACTGAACTAAAACCCACTGAATCGTACACACAAAAAGGATGAATTTTATGTGAATTATATCTCAATAAAACAGTCAGAACTAAATTAAAAATAGGGAAGCAAAATAAAAGCCTCAAAAGATTTGATGAAAGAATTGAAAAAAAAAAAAAAAAGTTCCCCCAAATAATGCAAAACACAGACATGAGAAAGAACAAAAACAAAAACAATTGGAGTATCAGCGCAAGATGTCCACATGCCCAACATTAAGAGTTCCAGATAGAAAGTAATAGAAAAGACAGAGAGATAGTCAAAAAAATTGTGATATTCAAGAAGTCTCAGAACTGAAGCCAGAAGTTTCCAAACTGAAAGATCCCAGCACATAAATACAAACAGAATCCAAACCATGGAACATCAGCACCAAATTTCAGAGCATCAGAGACAAGCAAAGACCTTATAGGAATCCCAAGAGAAATATAAAACCAAACAAGTCAAATACAAAGAATATGGAATCAGAATGGCTTCAGCCTTGAACAACAATCCAGAGACCTAGAAAGCGAGCCTTCAAAATTTTGAAGGAACGTGAATTCCAAGCTACCTACATCCTTACTTAGGGAAGTACTGAAGGATGTGAACACGATCCACCAAAATCACAAGTAAACCCAGACAAGATGACGTGGCATCCAAGACAAAGGTAATGGGAATCCAGGAAGGCAGCTGTGCCCCAGAATAAAGCAGATCCAAAGGCTCAGGAGGGAATTTTTTCCCTGAAGAAAGCGATAGAATATCTGGTGGAGTGAAAGCATTAAGACGGCATTTCTACCTAACTGGCACAGAGAACTGCAAATAAATGTAGTTGGTATTCACCATGCATTTAAATTAGGATTTTTTTAATACAAGTGATTCTTCCTTTATTTTTCCCCCCCCATCCTCTTTCCAGTTCTTTGCTAGTGGGCCTCATCTTCTCCACCTTGCCTCCAGATGCCATTCTGTAATGTTAAGTACTATGCAAGGAACATTCCAGAAACCTGACTCTAGCGTCACACACAGCTGGATTCAAATTCCTGTACCACCTCTTTCTGGCTGAGTGAACCTTGGGCAAGTTCGTTTAGCCTCCCCCTGCCTCAGTACCCTTTCCAATTCTACAGATAAGGAGACTGAAACTCAGGGAGGGGCAGAGCTGGCCAGCTGTCAGGAGTAAATAGGAAAAGCCACAGAAAGGGTTTAACCCAGTCCCTAGCATAGGGTAAATAGTCCTTAACATTTCAAGATGAGCAAGTTGAATTAAGGATACCATCATTCATCAGGGGAAACAAGAAAACACATGGGAAAGGAAAAACAATCGTAATTTACTCCAGAGTATAGCTCTGAATAACATACAGTCATAATAATGTCCACTCTGAGTAGTGACTTAACCGAAATCCTATGTAGGCTGAGAAGACTGGGGAAGCAGTAGGAGGAATGCTGAGGCAGGTAGGGTACAGGGTGGAAGGAGAGCTCAGTCTGCATCTTCCAAAGGCAGAAACTGAACAATATGCCCTACACTGAAAAACAAGAAGTAGCAATGCAAGTCTATTACTTAACGATACTAAAGCTCATCATAAAACACACAGTGCAATGGAAAGTGGGAGGGGAGAGATGCGGCTGGGGACAG